ATTTTGCTTGATTTGATTTTTGTCACGAACGGATGGAATGTTTGTTGATCGTGCAGTCTCAACTAGATGAAGTCGTGCGATATCATTAGATGTTCGAGGATTTGGTAGTGAAATTTTATGTAAGTTGGCTGTAATGTGTGAATCCAGATCGACGTTGGATTCGAAAGTGGTAGTGCATTCACTTACAGGACACATTGGAAATTGATGATGCTCACGATCGCTCCTCCTAAAGCGAAAGATAATTGAAAGATGAGAAAAGGAAACGTTCCTACTTCTTGGAAACAACATTGTGCTCTATATCGCTGATTCAAATTGTGAAAGGACTGATTATAATAGTCGCATATTTGTTTCAAATGCAATTTTCTTGTAAGGTATTAATACACTATCACCGACGTTGGAAGCTTTAAAAACCTTCATGTGTTTTGAACCATATTGAATAGAGCGAATAGTTGAAATATTTGGAATATTGGTCTTCCACAGAAGGCCTTCAGAATGAAAAATATATGTAATATATACGTAAATAATAAGTCTTAACTCGGTACTTACCCATCCATGGTACAATTTCTGCTATTGCTATTTTCGTATTTTTCACTCCTCCGGCGTACTCCATACCTTCTTTGATAGCATTTGCGCTGAGTAAATCATTGCCATTGGAAACCCACGAGCGCATCCTGGCTTTGGCCACTCCGCACACTCTGTCACAGATATTCTTCCCTTTCTGGACCTCGCTATAATCACGAGTCAACAACTGAATATCCATCTAAGCAAAATAGGGCCATGAATAATCATAAGTTTGTGTTAGGAACTTACTTGATTGCATATCATCTTCTCAACTTCTGGTGTAGCATGGGAGGAGAAATTGCCGGCATTATCTGTACGCTTGTGCAACTTTTTAATACTCATATGATCTTCTTTGAACTGCTTGATTATTATCTCACTTGCGCTTAAAGAGTCGAGATCTGTCTGAGCGGCATTCGTCAAGGCAAGAATGTAAGATTCAGTGTGGAACGGTGTTGCACCAGTTGAAGCCATAACTGTAGCTGTTGTTGATAAGTTTTTCCATATAAATGAACTGACTAGTACAGACATTCCTTTCTTTCCAAAGTACGTGCTTTGACCTTCTTGGTATTCTTGAGGTAGAATTTTTTTTGGCCACAGTCAAATGTGCAGAAAGCTTCATCGTCTTGCGTATGGGAAATGATTTCATTTTTTGCATCATTTTGTTGCACAGCACGAAGGTTATGACGAGATCATTCTATGATATGTTGAGACGCGTTGTCAAAGTCGTATTTTGTTTCCCGCTTCAGTTCTTCGTTGCTAATTTTTTCCATTATTTCACCAATCTCGTCGAGTGTGTTAATAATATTAATACAATCGGAACAATCAAAATTATGTGGTCGAGTACAGTTGCGCTGGTGTTGAGGACACTTTGGATCGCTAAGACCAAATGTAGTACAATGTGTAATGCAATCAGAATTATCTGAGCAATGACCAATGTGCATCATGTTTTGGTACTGCTCTCCCATGTCGATTTGTTTAAGCAAGCGTTTTCTGTCGGTTTGCGGAATGGGAATCGCATTAACGATATCTGTTATTAAAAAGAAAAATTAATTGACAGTCCAATGTTTAATTCGACTCACACCCCTTACATACTTCATAAGTAAAGCCATTCTTCAACACCTTCGACGACAAAGTCGTCCAGTTCAGCTAAAACGCGTAGTTGTGCCGATTTCAGACTGCTGAGAATATCGAATAGCTTTCTGTTTCCAAGTCCTTCAAAGTCAGTTTCATCACAATATTTCTTGTAGTTAGTAATAGCATGCGTCCTTTGAGACTGGAGTATTTGCTTTGATTGTTCAAATTTTTCACCATTGTCCATGCGGAGAGTTGTGAGCCCATAGGTACCTGTTGATTTAGAAAAACTTCGATTTTTCGAGAAAGATCAGAGACAGTAGCTGGCTAAATTTTTGACAACCAATACATCGTGAAGCAACCGGCTTACTAGCAATCAACTGTCTATTAGAATGTCAACTACCATACCGTAGTGGTTTCATTTTTGAGAAGGACTCTGAAATCAACTTTACCTGAAACAAGGGTATTGCTTTCAACTAGCCAGCTGACAAAATGTTTGATCTTGTTAGAATCAGCACGCTGTCGAATAGCTGGCTCTTTTTCTGATCGAAGCATATAATCATTATCGTCTTGTATTCTATGAGCAGATTTGATTGCATGTCCAGAGCAACCAAACTTTTCCATGATATTTTCGTAAGACCATGAGTGGGGTAACATCGAGAGAAGCGGAACTTGTTCGACAAAAGGCATCTGCTGCTCTACATACATATTGTATATTTCTTTAAGATTGTTAATTATATCGTCATTAATAGCCATCTTAGTCTGTTGTTGCTTCTGGACACGTGTGCATAGAGGAGACATTTCAATTAATTCGTCTCTTTGGCCAGGAGCAAGTGATTCAGCTAACTTTTCTAGAAGTAAAATATTATGAAAGTGCAATTATAGTTTTGGATTTTTCAGAGGTTACCATGAAATATCTGTGTACCCCGGTTTAGTTTAGACAGTAAACGTCGAAGACTACTTTTTGATTGATGCTTAAGTGGCACTCTTGCTTGAGATCGTATTGGACTCGCATCTGTCTCGACAAGAATTCGATTAATTTGCTCTCGAGTATCTTCGATTATAAATGGGGTTGCATTCGTAGTATAAGAAAGAGCACTGGTTGATACAAAATCTTCAGGTATCGCCATAATTTTTCTGTGCTTCGAGCACAATCTAAATCAGAAATGTATTTGCTTAAACGTAGAAGTAAGCTGAATGAGTAAAGGTTCACCTGCCACCAATTTGAAATCCTTCAATCTTTGAACATAGAGCGAGGCTAGCCCGACGACAATCGGAGGCCGATGGGCGATGTTTTGGATCGTGATCAGGATGATTACATTTTGAAACTACATCGCACCAGTCAACACCAAACGAGCTCCGATGCTTTGGACATATCGACATTGCATCATCAACAAGTACATTCTTTCCCAATAATCGATGGACAATCAAATTTCTCTCATTAACTATAATGTTATCTTCTGCTATGTTTTTAACAACGCCAAGTCGCTTCAAATGTTCTCGAATATCTGATTGCGCTAAATTCTGAAACGTAAGACATCGAGGCTTCCATTGAAAATAATCTATATAGAAACATATGAATCGAATATTTCAGTTAGTTAAAATTCCTTACGCTGAGATGAAGGTTCGCATGCAGACACTCTTGCATCACCCCACATACAGCATTGCTCGTAATTGACAGCTTCCAACACTGGATCAGGTAGAATAATAATGCTATCTTCAGTAGCATCTATGTCCATCTTTTCTATAAATAGTTGTAATTAGCATATAAGATACAGACGGAATAGCAATTCAATTAACCTGGAGATTCGTCTCTTCGCTGCACTTCTTCATCATCAAGGTGATAAGGCACATAATGTGGAAACATATGCTCAGGAACAGTGCAACATTCAGGATCAAAATCATATTTTCCACACTCATTCATAGACCCATTATTGCTCGTCATGAAACCGGACGCCAACATCATAGAATTAGCTAATACATCAATACCAGATGCAGAAGTTCCATAGTTTTTCTTAACATCCCCATCATGATCACGATTGAAGTTTATAGTTGATTGACTGTCCCGACGAATCGACGGATTCGATGTTAAAGAGTTGAAAGTGGTATGAGACTCAGTATCATCCAACCATGTGCTGCTCGAGGAGACACTGGCCGAACCGCGTGAAATGGAAGAATAACTAGTGTCATTCGCCGATATCGTCGGAAGACTATAAGCAAAAATTCGCGAAGCACCATCGCTGTATTTACTTGATTCATCACCTTGTCGACATAGAAGATAAGGTGGTAGGCCACGACCAGGATAATATGAACGCTCTTGATCAGCCATTATTACACGTGAGAATTATTTTTTTATAATGATTCGTCTCTTTTCACAAATTTTGTGAGCTTCCTTTTCTTTCTTCCTCATATTCGTCATGCATGATGAGCTTTTATTTTATCGACGAGACAAAAAATCGAAAAACATATCAAGAAAAACGGAAAGATCAATTATTTTTATATCATCCTTCGCTCAACAATTCTCTCTTTCTCTTTCTTATATGAGACGCGTTCTCGGTCAACACACTATTCTTGTTTACACAACGGCCATTAAAAGGATAATATTCAATATATACACTATATTCAATCATATTATCCGTTACGCTAATCGTTCAATCAAGAGTGACTTAAATTGAAGACTATCAAATTGAAAGGGTATATTCTGCCGAAAAATTTGCATTAGTGAATTTTTTCTTTTCATTATGCTTTAAATTGCATTCAATTGCACGAAATTTTTAAAAAAGAAATAATCGTGCATTAGAAATTGTAATAACATATAGTTAATCTTAATGTTATTTCTATCGAATAATCATTTCATACTTGATATACAAGCGTCAAACTTGAAATTATGATTAATTGGCTCACTTAGTACATGCATAAATTTCGGCGTGACACATTTCGATTGATGGTGACGTTCAGGAACATCACGGAAAAAAACAACTGAGAACCCGATCTCAGTTCTGAAATCTTTGGATGAAGTGCATTTACACAAAAAATTAACAAATTAACACTCTCCGTGAAAAACGTTACAATTTGAATATATGCTCGATTGTTATGCCGCCCCCCCCCTTGTGTTGCGGTATGAATATGTGCACAAACAGGGCGTTATCATCGTCGTGTTCTGTGTGAAAAGTTACCTACATGTCAAGAATCATGCATGTCTTGACTCTATGTAGCTCAGCTTAGAAAAATCACTTACCATATATGCAGCTCCCAGTCCGACCCCGGTGGCCAGAGTTCCCATAGAGATCCCACGCCAATTGTTACGCCAAGTTGTAGACCAGATAGGGCCCTCTCAGGTCCAAATGATTCGCCGGTCAGGCATCCTATATTTTTTGAGACCATCACAGCCCAAAATCGGAGATTTAGGAAAAATGCTAATTTTCACAGGCTCGCCACCAACGAAGACTTTGCTTGG